TATGAAAAATCATTTTTTAGGGAGTTTAAAACAAAAAATTGTGGGCTTTCGATCGTGTATTGAAGGAAGCGCTGTGATGAACACTTCTGGCAGGTGTGATTCCTGGATGTATCAGTAACCAAGATTATTAAAATCACCGTGACTACCGGTAATGACAAAATGCAAACGACACTTGGAAAACAGTTAATTTTTCAGCGGCTATTTGTCTTCAGCAGCTATTGATCACATTCGGAAAGCAATGCATCGTCTCTCTGGTGACAATTCAAGTGACTTTTTTCTTTCTTTGATAAGTTGGTACATTTTTGCCAAATCCAATGAGACCACTAGCAATCTGGATATTATTGCATCACATTCAACGAGAATGAGTCGGATACGTTAGTATGCTAACTGTCGTCGTATTTTGAAGAAATATTATTACTGGTGGTGATTGGCCAAAACGAGGGTACCCATTGTGGCTCGGTTTCTAGACTTTTAACCACTTCTTTGAGCTCTTCCAGCGAGCGATCCAAATCGACGTTCACGATGATTCGATCAAACAAATGACCATAGTTCTAAAAACAGATGCAAATTTGTAGTAAGTATAGGTCTCAGAACTACAAACTGCGGCCTTCTTGAGTAACAACATCAATCTAAATTTAAACCTTTAGTAAAAACATAGGACAAAATTACATTTGAGAATTAGATTATCCATCTCAATATTTCATCTGAAACGAACAGACATCAGTGCTTACTACGCCCTGCCCTCTTGATTATTCTTCATCCCTTACCTCAAATTCTATCACCTTCTCTTCTTTCATTATTTTATAAGGCGTTCGTTTGTGACTAATATCTATCTTCTTTACTACCAGGAATTACCAAGGGAACGCCTCAGCTCAGAAGAGACCTGGGCAGAATATTACCACATAGCTTACTGTATGACTTCTATAAAGTGTCCACGAAAAGCAATTATTTACCCTTATAATGAACGTCTTAGAAAAAAATGGGGAGCAAGTGAAGTCCAGCTGGGAATACAAGGATCACGATGTGCGAGCTTAACAAAAAATTTCAACGTGTACGAAGAAAAGTGCAAAGGACCGGATTCACTGCGGCCATAAGTTTTGCAAAACGCTTCTTTCACCAAAACTGATAATTGCAACGAGAACGTGGCTAACCTGTTCTGTAACTTTCCCCTCATTTAGAATCAATTTCAGCTGTTCATCCTTGATACCATGCTGTCCGAGAATCTCTTTCTGACGACGAAGCTGTTGGAGCGAGGGAGGAGCAATGAATACAACATAAGGCATAAACAATGTCCTCCGAAGTGCTTTTAGATTCTAAAAATTTGTAAACGTAAAGGGGCTGAAGCGTTAATTCCTATGGTATCATAAATGTCTGTATCAATAGCTTTCTGATTATTCCTGTTTCTGCCCTATTTTTCTTCCTCTGTCAGCCTCAGCTGTCACTTCACATCCAAAAGCGCTTTATTTTTCACTTATTTTGCGTTTTTTGCAGCTATGCAATGCGGAAAGCCATATTGACGAGAGGTTGTCTGTGTCTGTGTGTGCGCTGGGCGTCTGTACCGATTTTTCATCTCGAGACCTATTAAAGCTACAGGGCTGAAAGTTTGTGAACTTAATCTACACGCACGTACGGGCCCCCCATCCCCAAAATGGACGCCGTTACCTGCGTGGCACCTGCGTACGGGCCCACCGAAGTTTTTTTCGGGTAAGTTCATAACTCGGGGATTTGAGAAGCTAGAAAGCTGAAATCTTAAGAGAATGTTCCTCGTCCAAGTAGGTATTAATGAGCTCAAACCCATCCCCTGGGTAAGCGTGGTACCGGAGAACACCCATGCAAGCTCTATACCTTGTCTGGTTCCTGAGAATGCTTTCTAGTCAAAAAATTTGCATATTTTTTTTAAGACGCCCGTATGTGAGACCCAGGCGTACCTGGTGATGATATTAAAACGAAAAGTTGCGCACGGTGTGGGCACATATTCCCGAAGTTTCAGCTTTTCTGGTTCTCGAATTGAAAGTGAGTGACAAAAAGTACAAACACACACACACACATACAGCCTCTTGCCAATATGCATTTTTGCATTTGAATATATGCAAAAATGCATAAAAACCAAGCAGTCTTACCTCAACCTTAAGAGTAAGTAAGCAAATTTTGGCTTTGTCGATGACGGCTTGTATTGATGCCAGAGAAGTGCCATAGAGATGCTTTTGAAATTCACCGTATTCGATGAATTTACCCACTTTTGCATCCTCTTGGAACTTTTGCTTCGTTACGAAATGGTAATGTACACCATCCAGTTCACTTGATTTCTTCGGGCGTGTGGTATCTACAAATTGATGAATTAAAACTTTCAGATTCCTGGACAAAACTGACCCACACAAAAGCTTTACACACTTCAGAATCATTTATACTGGCTAGCAATAACTTCTACGCATTCCTCACCAATATCGCTCAGATTATCACATGTAGAAAGTTTGATTCCACTGAAGTGCATCTCAAATATCAAGTCCAAAGGTTGCCACTAGTTATTTACTGCCTCTGCTTGCTTTTGTTACGTCATGCGTTAACTTTGCGGAAGCTGTTCCGGTTACCACTTTTTTCCCTCAATTATCACTCAGTAGTAGGAACGTTTATAACTTGTCAACTAGCTGATTAGATGTCTTTTCTACGGAAATTCGGTTTCCTTTGTGGTCGCGATGACAGGCCATTTGTTTGTGAGCGCTTCACTCTTGCTTTGGTCACACAAAGCTATCCGGAACATTTGATGTCCGGAAACTCCCCGCATATCTGCCAAATAAAAATTACTTAATCACTTACGTGGCACAGCACTACCAAATTTCTGGTTGTCAGATTCTGCAAGACGCTGCCGCAACTCCAAACAACCAACCCCTTCCGGACCGCAAAGGACCAACGGCCGCTTCCGTTTTGTTTTCGAAAGATACAACGAAACCTCTTCATAGGTCAAGATTTCTGAAAA